TGATTGTGTGGCATCAAAAGCAAAAAGGTGAGGCACATAGAGAAGAGTTTGTATGGCAGTGAGAACAGAGAGATGGTGTGGCAGTGGAAGCTGGGAGATAGTTTGGCAGAGAGTAGAGAGATGGTGTGGAAAGGAAATAGAGTGGCAGTGTGAGAGCAGGAAGATGTAGTGGGGTTGAGAGCAGTGAGATTGTTTGGCAATGACAGCTGAGACATGGTGTGGCAGTGACAACAAAGATATGTGGCAGTGACAACAAAGAGATGTGGCAGTGTGAGCAGGAAGATCATGTAGCAATGAGAACAGTCAGATGGTGTGGCCATGACAGCGGGGAGATGGTGATGCGGTTAGAGCAAGGAGTTAGTGTCGCAGTTAGACAAGGGAGATCTTGTGGATGTGTGAGCCAAGAGGTTGTTTGGCAACGAGAGCAGGGATTTTGTGTGGCCGTGAGAAGAGGGAGGCTGTGTGGTAGTGAGAGCAGGGAGATTGTGAGGCAGTTGAAGTAGGAAGATGGTGTGGAAATGAGAGCCTGGAAAGTGTGTGGCAGTGAGAACAGGAAGGTTGTGTGGCAGTGAGAGCATGGAGATTGTGAGGCAGTGGGAGTAGAAAGATGGTGTGGCCATGATAGCAGGATGATCTTGTGGCAATGAGATTGGCCATGAGAGCAAGAAGATGGTGAGGCAATGAGAGCAGAGTGATAGTTTGGCAATGAGACCATGGAGGTGGTGTGGAAGTGAGAACAGGAAGATAGTGTGGCAGAAGAACTTTGAAATGGTGTGGCAGCGAGAGCAGGGAGTTGGAGTGTCAGAGATTAGTCTTAGTGTGGCAGCGAAGGCAGGGAAATAGTGAAGCAATGCCAGCAGAGAGATGGTGTGACTGTCAGAGCAGTGACATGGTGTGGTAATGAGATGAGGGAGATGATGTTGCAGTAATAGGAGGGAATGTGGTAGTCACAAAGGGAGATGCTGTGGCAGTTAGGGCATTGATGCAGTGAGGTTGTTGGAGCAGTGAGATTGTGTAGGGAGTTGGTGTTGCAGTGAAGGCGGGAAGATAGTGTTATGTTTGGCAGTGAGAACACGGAATTACTGTGGCTGTGAGAGCGGGGAGTTGTGGCAATGACAATAGGAAAACTTTGTAGTAGTTCAATGTTGCAGTAAGAAAACCAGAAGTGACTTATTAGATAGTTCCTTAAATTTGAGTCATCTAATGTTTCATTTTATACTTATTTTTCACAATTATGTTCCTTTTCTCTGAATTATGTAACAATATTGTCCTGTGCAATCTCGAGTGACTCATCAGACCTGAGTCATGAATCAAGTTCTTTTCAATATTTCATGTCCTACTCACTTTTGACTATTTTTTCCCTCTTTCCAAGTTTAATTGTGCTGTTTTAAATGACAAGGGTCACTGATGAGATTCAGCTATTTATTGACATTATCGGAAATGTTTCATATTGTTTTCACATCTCTCTCTTTGCTTCATGTTTTTCAGTTTTGTAATAAAGTTTGTATGAGTGTCAAAAATCAGAAGTATTACTTACATCCTTTTGCTTTTGCTTTAGAAATAAATTTCTATGTACTA